TATTCAAGCATCAGCACCAAATAGGTGTCGACGATCTTCTCTAGGGGACAAACCAGTTGACTCCAGTAAGCAGCGGCAATACTGAGACAAGAATTGGTTCATGACATGCTCTTTTTTTTATCTAGCAATGAATTAGAAATCCCTTTGGCTTTAGCCTTTTCAGGTCTAAATGAATCGAGGAGTGTCCAGAACACCTCCTGTTCATCCATCCACAAAGACACCAAGGCAATGGCTGTAGAGCGCTAACTGGAGAGATTGCATGGTTTGATGTTCTACACTTTTTTTCTTCAGTCATGACTCATGACAAATCAGAAAATAGAGAGTCATGCTGACACATTCTTGTTGTATATTATGAGAAAAGGAATGGTAGGTGGTGGAAACCTTCGAAGGTCATTCGGTTAAAGATTGAGCTTCCCTCCCATTCAAAACTTTTCATGGTGTAACATCTTCTATGCTCTTTTTGATATGTAGATCATGTCGGAGAAATATTCTTACTTTAAAGTAAAAGAAATTTTTTCTTGATGCATTTTGAAAATTTGATGTGGGGAATCCTTGTGAGCCTAGTTATTCTTTTATCCATTTGAATGTCAAGGGACTGTTTGCTGACCATGGAGGTTGATTGACTGACTGAGAGGCAAACAAGTTTTGGTAATCGATATAAACTGAGTGATCAAGAAAATGCCTGTAAAATCCATCCTTGTGAGCCCCTAGCTATTCTTTTATCCATGGAGGTTGATTGACTGACTGGGAGGCATACAAGTTTTAGTAATCGGTATAAACTGAATGATCAAGAAAATGCCTGTAAAATCCATGGAAGCAGAAAAAATGAATTAATCTACCATGCAGGAAGGCCAAATTCCAGAATGAGCCAATTCTGGTTGATTTTGCAAATAGGGTTTCGGGGGTGAATAGTACAGTGTTTTTTTTTTCTTTGGTCCCATGCAGTCGCTATAAATATATATATATATATATATATATTGGTTTAATTGCTAAAATAGTGATTAACTTTAAACTTTTTAATTTCCTTTAAATCAGTTTAATTAAATTTATCTGTAAAAGAATTCTATATATGTAATTATTGCATGGTAATCATCATGTGAATTAATAAAATTTATTAAAAAATTTTATCAGGTTTGAAAAATTCAAAATCTGAAGAACTTTTCCAATTTTGCTCTCACTTCTTCTAACCTAAACAATTACATATATTTCACTCGATTTTCTCTCGAATTCTTTATAAGTTTAATTCACATGACAATCATATAATTATATTTTAATGATATAATTGTCACATAGATAATGTGTAAAAAGTATCTATCTATTTGGGAGGACAAATTAATTAAAAGTATTAATTTAAATTTACAACAATTAAAATGTCATACATCAATTTTTTTTTTTTAAAAAAAAAGAAAGATACAACGTGGAGACTATTTTTGTGAAAAAAATTTACATGCTTAATTTTTATCATAACATCCCACAACCATCCTCATCAAAACAGCTTGCTCCATAAGAATCATGTGTTATTATTATTCAGCCAAAGGAGCCTTCCCTCTTTCTGCTAAACATGTACAAAATGTTTACAAAGACACCTTTTTCCTTCTTACAATTCTGAGTCCCTTTTTTTTGGTTAATACATACAAAATCAAATCCATCTGTCCATACAATGTTCAAACAATCATAATCATAGAGCCGAGTTAACGTGAAAACGATTGTTCGAGTAATCGTAAGCACGAATTAACCTTTTCTGAAATCTTCTTAGATCCAGCCGCACATTCTGGTGCTCAAGATAAATCTTCTTTGTGTATTCCCATCCCTTCTTGTTGACACTTTCAGGGTCCGCAAGGACAGGATCATTCTTGTCATATTTGTCATACAATGAGCTCTCTCTAGCAAGAATACGGTACCCTATATACTTCAATCCAAGTTTCTTTGCAGGTTCCCCATAGTAAGTTTCTGCTGCCCAATCTGTTCCTAGAGGAATTATTTGAATGAACACACAGCCAGGTTTCATAAACAAGAAATGAGTCATGGCTGCACCATGGACACCAACCATGACATGGCTTGAGTTAAGTACTCTGTAAATCTTGGCAAGTTCAGTTGTTCTCTCAGGCCTTAGGACTTTAACTGCAAACCCAATTTCCTCTGCAATTTTCACCATTGAATTCTCATTGATTATTGCTCTTGATCCATTTCTTGACAAGAGAACCAGAGTTGGTTTCTTGGAAACTTGAGCTTTTGTCTCGGATTCCACTGGCACAGAGGATGATGATGATGATAATGATGGAGAAGCAAGTTTCTTTCTCAGATTCTCTTGAGCTTCTCTTAGCTCGGATTGAATCAAGCCTCGAATCCGCGGTCGGTAGGCTTTATCCAGAAGATTTCTGAAATCAACAATGCTTTTGTTGTTCCCCTTCATTTGAGAAGGATCAACGGTGAGTTCATCATGGATTCTGAGACCAACAATGGCTTCGGGAAAACAATGTGTTCTCTTGTCCCCATTGAAATCAATTGCAGGATAATATGATAAATGAGAAAGAATGTCTCCATACTTCAGGATCCACCAATTATGGTATTCAAGAATCACGAACACAACCTTCTTGTTGAAATGCTGAGAGGTTATATACAGTGGTAGAATCCCATCGTTGAATTCATGATAAACATTGCCGGTATATCCTCCGGTAGAGAAGAACACGGCGGGAACATCGTGATAAACATCACAGTGATGATCAATACCCATGTTCTCATTTTTCCTGATGAGCTCCAATTCATCAATGGTGTCCATCACACTTGTCTCCCATTTCCGGGTGTAGGGTTTGATCCTCTCGTGCTGGAGTTCAGTGTCTTCTTTCTCTTTGCTGCTTTCCTCAACAACACCGGAAATGTAGTTGATGAGACCGCCATTTTTGGTGGTTTTTGAGCTGTAAAGGAAGATTGAAGAAGAAGCAGAATGTGTTCTCACATCACCTTTCATTATACAAACATCTGTGCGGAAAGCACTCCTGTCACAGCATATAGTTCCTGAATCCAACCCAGAAAGGAAAATTCAAGTTTCAGACAAATTTTTGAAGATTAATGATTACATATCTGTGATTCAATCTGGTCTAATAAGAGTTCAGTGAATGTTTTGATTGAAGCTTAAAGCTTTTATAATCATATTCATCATGAATGCAAAAGTATGATGGTTCGCTTAAAGCATGAAGCTTTATACTAAAAAGAGAAACAGAAGTACTCACCATTAGAGATGGAAGAACATGGCGGAGAATTCATGTCTGCATCCAAAACAAATCTTTCACTTCCTCTGCCAAAGGAATCTGCAAGACCCACAAAAAATCAGCAAGACAGAAACCAAGCCAAACAAAATCATCCCCAGAAACAGAAAGAGTAAAAGAAAAAAAAAACGAAGGAAAACAGAGAGAGAGGCAAAACAGAGAATAACCCAGGAGAGAGAGAGAAGCTTACATAAAAGAGAGAGAGAAGAAGAAGAGCCAAAGAGATGAGGAGCCAAAACCAGGCCGCAAGAAAGAATAGAGAGAAAGAGAAGAGTAAAAAGCTTCGGCCTTGTTCTCTTACTATAACCAGAGTTTGCAAACAGAAAAACCAAGGCCTGTGTTTCTTCATCTTCCCCAATATTTTCATGTTCTCCTTTCTTTAGCTGACGAGAACGCTGGTATCTCACCATATCTCTTCACACCCAGCAACGGATTAAGCTTCAATCTCGATAAGATAAGCTTATTTTTAAGCTTGCATGAGCAGCTTTTTGTGGTTGCAGCTTTTAAAACGTTATAAAAATGATTATATAAAGGATAAAAAAAAAAAAAAAAAAATGAGGGTATAAAACTATAAATGTTTGAGCTTTTTGAAACAGTAATGGCAATTCTGACTTCTGGGTTTTGGTGCTGCTCTTGAACCAAGAACAGAGAGAGGCTTACAAGGGAAGATTAGAGGGAGGTTTTGTTGAATAAGAATGTAAGTATAAGGGGTAAGCAGGTCAAAGATGGCTTTAAATAGTCAACAAAAATTTTTGTACAAGAATAAATCAAGAGAGAGAGAGAGAACCTGTTCCTGTTGGCTCCTCCCGGGTTGCCTCCTTTGCTTTAGTTTGGTTTTCTTCTCTTTCCTTCACTGATTGTGATTGTTGCCTTGTTTCACGCGCTTCCTTATTAAAACAAGAAAATATAAAATATACCTTCTTGAATTTTGATTTTTCAAAGAACCCAACTTTTTGTTTCTATGAATTTTTAATAATCTAATGAAATATAATAAAAAAAAAAATTATTATTAATTTAAGCATTTTTATCATTTAATCTAAAAAGGGTTTGCTTTTTTTTTTTTCACTTTTTTGGGGAAAAATAATAACCCATCTTTCTGTAATAATTGAATCAGCATTTTACCTCATCACCACCAACAACCCTTTTCTTGAAATTTTCTTTTTCAAAAAAAAAAAAAAAAAAAAAGAAGATAACAAGTATGAAGAAAGAGTGGTTATGAATGTGAAATTGGAAATATGTTTTTTTTTTTTTTTTTTTTTTTGAATTTTCATTAGAAATTAGTTCATTTTAGTATTGAACCAAATGGCTAAACAATATCTGATTTGATTCAATCCACTCTAATATGTTTTTCTATTCTCAACATGGAATACTTTTAACATCAACTACATATATATATATATATATATATATTACTTGGTCCATTTTCTCACATTCAGTTGATAATCAAACGACCCCTCTTTTTGGCTGCAAGAAATATAAAAACAAGTTATATAACTTACTGGGTTATATTTATTGCTACCAATAATCTTTTATTTGGAATATATATATATATATATATATATGTAGTATAAATTGTTTTAATTTCGAGATTGCTTTAATGTATTAATGTTCCCGAAATTAATTATATTGAAATGGGTGGGGGTTGTGATCAATTACTCAGAATTTTCTTAAAAAGGATAGTGTAAATTTTTCTGTTTTGAAAATTTATTATTTTATTAATAATATAAAATATATATTAATTACAGTATAATTTTGTTGGAATTTATAGAAAAATAAATAAATATATATATATATAATAATTATTGAATGTCGTTTTCATAAGAGTAGATAAAGTTGAATTTGGATTAATTGATATTTGCGTTAAACTAACAACTATTGACCATTAATAAAAGGAACCCAATTCGGACAAGCCACTTTTACTTTTCTATTGGCTCTCTTTGCCGTTTAATTACTAAATTGCTACACACATATATATATATATATATATATATATATATATACATATAGCTGGTTCATTGATTTAATTAATTTCTGGATATTTATGAGATTTGATTACTTCTCTTGATTATTGGTTTTTTAATGTTTTAATCATCTATATTATTATTATTATTATTTCTTCAAATTAACCATGAGTTTTTTTTATTAAAAAATAAATAAATAAATAAAATTTAAAAAAAGAAAAAAGGAAGGTGACATGCATGCATAGGTAAGCTAGCCCATTAACGTTATCTTCAAGCAATATACGTATAATTAAGACACATTAAATTATTGATAAAGTTAGTACCATTTATCACATTAACAGATGAGGAGCTTGTCAAAAATTAGAATATACGTATACATGAAACAACTGGAATAAATAATTTTAAAAATATCACACAATTATAATAAATAATTAAGAGCATATATTAAACATATAATTGATTTTAAATTATAATGTTGTTACTATTTAAATCCATATCGGATTTGTATGTATTATATTCTTCT